ATCCCCTTTCTTGTATATCGGGACTACGTTAGCTGCTTTCCAAGTATCTGGCAGTTCCCCTGTTGCCAGTGATTTGTTATACACTATGGAGAGTGGTAGGCTCAGTTCTCTTGCTCCTTCCTTTAGAACCCAAGGGGAGATTCCATCTGGGCCTATAGCCTTCGTCACGTCCAACTCTAGTAAACACTTCCTTACTTCCCCACTGGTAATCTCAAAATCTGTGTGGTAATCTGTGTGTGTGTGTGTGTGTGTGTGTGTGTGTGTGAGTGTGTAGCTCTTGATTTAAATGATCTCAAGATGTACATAGCTGACACAAACAGATTATTGATGAACTTGTCCTCTCTTCAAGGCCTTTTTTTGTTATATTTCTTAACACTTCTTGTATCTCTCTCGTCACAATTTCAAAGAAAACGTCTGGTGGTCACAGTAGGCGACCCAGTTCTTTTACTGCTTTACTGATTCTTATGTAAAAAGTCTCTTGTATTTTCTGGCTCGAATATTTTCACCTGACTGAAAAGATATGTGAACATATCTTGAGGTTATCTTGAGATGATTTCGGGGCTTAGCGTCCCCGCGGCCCGGTCCTCGACCAGGACTCCTTTTTTGTTACACACCCCCAGGAAGTAGCCCATAGCAGCTGTCTAACTCCCAGGTACCTACTTACTCCTTGGTAACAGGGGCATCAGGGCGAAAGAAACATTTGTTTGTTTCCGCCTCCACCGGGGATCAAACCCGGAACCCCAGGACTACGAAGCCGAAGCGCTGTCCACTCAGCGGTCAGGCCCCAGGCACAGAACATAATCCCAGACTAGAGTCCACAATAACTATATAAATCAAAATCTATTGTTTTAATAATTATTTATTTTCTTAAATATTCTCACTAGACTTCAATTCAGTTGCACCAGTTCTCAATTTTCCAGACACTAATTGGACTTGTAATTCATACCTTGCTAAGCACTAGACAAATACGTCTGAGGATTAATTTGTCGAGACCATTTTGCTTCTGCAGATACATCTGTTTGATATTATTAGTGTTTTCGTGGTTTGAAAAGACGTATTCTTGCTCTTGAGAGTATTGTTATCCTTAACGGTATTGTTGTGAATGTAATTATTATGCTCGTACCTCCTTAACATTTTCATGCAGAACGCACCCTGCTCGACCAGTGATGGCGGTTCTAATTATCACGTGAATGCAGTTTTAATGATTTTAGCCAGCAGGACGCTTATATATACCTGGAAAATTCAAGAAACGTCATTTCTTAAATTAATGAGGCTCAAAATTCATTTGACGTCGTGCGTTCTACAAAACTATCACTGATTTTCTACACAATTATGCCTTGATTTTGGGGAGGTGAAGACTGGCATACTCGTTCTCTCCTTGTCTCCCTTGTTCTCTCCTTGTCTCTCTCCTTCTCTCCTTGTCGGTCTCCTTCTCTCCTTGTCCCTCTCGTTTTCTCCTTGTCACTCTCGTTCTCTCCTTGTCTCCCACGTTCTCTCCTTGTCGCTCTCGTTCTCTCCTTGTCGCTTTCGTTCTCTCCTTGTCTCCCTTGTTCTCTCCTTGTCTCTCTCGTTCTCTCCTTGTCGCTCTCCTTCTCTCCTTGTCCCTCTCGTTTTCTCCTTGTCACTCTCGTTCTCTCCTTGTCTCCCACGTTCTCTCCTTGTCGCTCTCGTTCTCTCCTTGTCTCCCTCGTTTTTCGTTCTCTCTCTTGACGAGCATAATCTCAAAGTAAAAAATATTAAAATTGATTTAGAGGAGCCAATTACTGCTCCACGAGAGCAACAAGCACCACGTGAGGTGGGAAATTTGAACCACTACATCGTCGAGATTTTAACGAGAGAGTTCAGTAAAGAATATTTTTTTATTATAAAACTTTCAGACATTGGTATACAAACATGATTGGTATACAAAACAAGTTTTACTCTGTTACTTAGCCCTGGAACACGATCCGCCAAGTCTTTTACAACCAGGTCCGTAAATAATGCTGGGCGAAAAGGGATAAATACTCAGCTTGATAATAGTCCAGGATGGACCGAAACGTCGTCGCTTTATTTTATTTTTATTTTATTTTTACATGAATAGCTTGGACATCAACTGTTCAGCTGCGCTCTTGTTACTAATCGTCTACACAGGGGTGAATATATTTAAGCATTGATGTCCAGGCCACTCTCTCCCTGCCCAGGGTTCGAACCTAGCCATCGCAAGTTGCGATACCACATCGCCAACACTCGTCACAGACACCATCCACACGCCACTTGCCTCTCCCACCGGTAGCTGCTTTCATTTTAATTTCCACATGAGAAGAACTGGGAAAATAATCCTTCAGTGGTCGGTACACAAGGTGGAGAATTGTGTGATGCCCCGCTGGGGGAGATGAGTGATGGGTTGGTGTTATCCATCTTGACCTCACTGGGAGAGGAGGTGGAAGAGCATCTTCCTCTTGATCCATTACTCCGGCGCCTCCGAGGATGCTGCCGTTTAACTTGTTCTTCACCCAGAGTGACATGATTATTTCTTATGTCAGATGGCTCATAAATCATTCCTGAAATTTTGTTATAAACGTTTCGTGGTGCTTTTTAAAAGTGTGTGCTTGTGTGTGTGTACTCACCTATTTGTACTCACCTATTTGTGCTTGCCGGGGTTGAGCTTTGACTCTTTGGTTCCGCGTCTCAACCGTCAATCAAGTGGTGTACAGATTCCTGAGCCTACTGGGTTCTGTCATAAATACATTTAAAACTGTGTATGGAGTCAGCCTCCACCACGTCACTGCCTAATGCATTCCACCCTTAACTACTCTGATACTGAAAACGTTCTTTCTAACATCCCTGTGGCTCATTTGGGTACTCAGTTTCCACCTCTGTCCCCTTGTTCACGTATCCCTAGTGTTGAATTCTTTGTCCTTGTCTACCCTGTCAATTTCCCTGAGGATTTTGTAGGTAGTGATCATGTCTCCCCTAACTCTTCTCTCTTCCAGTGTCGTAAGGTACATTTCCCGCAGACTTTCCTCGTAACTCATGCCTAATAGTTCTGGGACTAGTCTAGTGGCATACCTCTGAATTTTTTCCAGCTTCGTCTTGTGTTTGACAAGGTACGAAGGTACCTTGTCAAAGGTACGGCTCTATGCTGGGGCCGTATACTCCAGGATTGGTCTTACATATGTGATACACAAGATTCTGAAAGATTCCTTACACAGGTTCCTGAAGGCTGTTCTGATGTTCGCCAGCTTCGCATATGCCGCAGACGTAATTCTTTTTATGTGGGCCTCCTTAGACAGGTTTGGTGTGATATCAACTTCTAGATCTTTCTTTCTGTCCGTTTCATGAAGTACTTCATCTCCCATTCTTTATTCTGTGTCTGGCCTCCTATTTCCACCGCCTAGTTTCATTACTTTGCATTTATTCGGGGTTGAACTTTAGCAGCAATTTCTTGGACCATTCATTCAGTCTGTCTAGGTCATCTTGTAGCCTTCTACTATCATCCTCTGTTTCAATCCTCCTCATAATTTTTGCATCGTCGGCAAACATTGAGAGAAACGAGTCTATACCCTCGGGAGATCATTTACATATATCAGAAACAGTATAGGTCCAAGGACTGACCCCTGCGGGACTCCACTTGTGACGTCTCCCCCAATCTGAGACCTCACCCCTCACAGTGAATTGATGTCTTCTGTTGCTTAGGTACTCCCTTATCCAATGGAGGACTTTCCCTTTCACTGCAGCCTGCATCTCCAGCTTTCTCACTAGCCACTTGTGTGGTACTGTATCAAAGGCTTTCTGGCAATCCAAAAATATGCAGTCTGCCCACCCCTCTCTTCTTGCCTGATTTTTGTTGCCTGGTCGTAGAATTCAAATAACCCTGTAAGGCAGGACTTGACATCCATGAACCCATGTTGATGTTGTGTAACAAAGTTCTTTCGCTCCAGATGTTCCACTAGCTTTCTTCGCACACTCTTCTCCGTCAGCTTGCATGGTATGCAGGTTAGAGACACTGGCCTATAGTGTGTGTGTGCGTGCGTGCGTGCGTGCGCGCGCGCGTGTGTGTGTGTGTGTGTGTGTGTGTGTGTGTGTGTGTGTGTGTGTGTGTGTGTGTGTGTGTATGCACCTAGTTGTGCTTGCGGGGGTTGAGCTCTTGCTCTTTGGTCCCGCCTCTCAACTGTCAATCAAATGGTGTACAAGTTCCTGAGCCTAGTGGGCACTATCAAATCTTCACTTGAAGCTGTGAATGGAGTCAGCGTACACCACATCACTTCCTAAAGCAATCCATTTACCAACTACTCTGACACTAAAAAAGTCACTAGTCTCCAATAGTGCTTGTGCTCCTTTTGTTAAATAGTTTACTCTATCAATTCCTTTGAGAATCTTGTATGTGGTGATCATGTCCCTCCCTAACATTTCTGTCTTCCAGCGATGTGAGATTTAATTCCCGAAGTCTCTCCTCGTAGCTCGCATTCCTCAGTTCGGCTGCTAGTCTCGTGGCTAACCTTTGAACCTTGACTAGATTTGGACTGCATGCTGGAACTGCATATTACATGATTGGTCTGACATATGTATATACAAAGGTCTGAATGATTCCTTATACAAGTTTCTAAAGGCTTTTCTTATGTTTGCCAATCTGGCAAATGCCGCTGATGCTATCCTCTGGATATGGGCTTCAGGGGACAGGTCTGGCATGATATCAACCCCCAAGTCTTTCTATCTCTCACTGATTCTGGAAGAATGTTTTTTTCACAAATGATAACTTTCTCCTGCTCCTATACACCTATCTTCATTACATTACATTTGCTTGGGTTAAACTCTAACAACCATTTGTTCGACCATTCGATCTGGTTTTCTAGGTCTTCTTGAAGCCTCAAGCTGTCCTAGTTGTGTGTGTGTGTGTGGTTGGTTGGTTTAGATAAGCAACTGCGTGGCAGATTTTTGCATATATGGAAATGTTTCTATCAAATAACACACGGGCTGAAATACATTGATTCGAATTGCGGTCCAAAACGTTATTGCGCCACTCAATTTTGATGTACTTCAACCTTATCCACCAGATGTACTTCACCCTTATCCACCAGACGTACCTCACCCTTATCCACCAGATGTACCTCGCCCTTATCCACCAGATTTACCTCGCCCTTATCCACCAGATTTACCTCGCCCTTATCCACCAGATTTACCTCGCCCTTATCCACCAGATTTACCTCGCCCTTATCCACCAAATGTACCTCACCCTTATCCACCAGATGTACCTCACCCTTATCCACCAGATGTACCTCGCCCTTATCCACCAGATTTACCTCGCCCTTATCCACCAGATTTACCTCGCCCTTATACACCAAATGTACCTCACCCTTATCCACCAGATGTACCTCACCCTTATCCACCAGATGTACCTCGCCCTTATCCACCAGATGTACCTCGCCCTTATCCACCAGATGTACCTCGCCCTTATCCACCAGATGTACCTCGCCCTTATCCACCAGCTGTACCTCGCCCTTATCCACCAGATGTACCTCACCCTTATCCACCAGATGTACCTCACCCTTATCCACCAGATGTACCTCATCCTTATTCACCAGATGTACCTCACCCTTATCCACCAGATGTACCTCGCCCTTATCCACCAGATGTACCTCACCCTTATCCACCAGATGTACCTCACCCAGAAGCACGATTTGATTGTTGCCGCCGAAGGCGGCTAGTTTATTGTGCACCCCATACTCATCCTGTGAGCGGTAGCGCAAAAGCATTACAGAGGGCACAAAAGGTCTTTATCAGACCTCATCTTAGATTATTACATAAACAATTTCTTCAATCCTTCACACCTTATAGATACAATGTCAGCTAGTTACAGAGAAAGTGCTATTACAAGAGCTACATATTTACAGTAAGTCATCATACATTAATGGTAGGTCTTATCGTTAATACATAATAGTTTGGCCAATGGGGATATTACAGAGTCATAGGGGAGCTTCTGTTTATTATTAGTCCTCACAATACACTACTTGTTTCTGAATCTCATATGTCGTTCATCTACTGGAAGCAAAATGTGGGTACAGTGCAAGGATTTCAGGTAATTTATCCATGGTAATAAGATAGGTTGCCATATCATACAGAGTGAGCTTAGACTTATTTCTAAAAGGCTCAATTTTACAACAATCCAAGATATAGTGTTCGAGTGTGTGTCCCTGCCTATGTCCACACACTTTACACTTTACTTCATCTAGATCCCTATACAAGCCGAACTGCCAGAGATACTTGTAGCCAAGTCTTATACGAGCTGTGACAACATCTGTTAGTCTACTGACTTTGTTACTTGCCCCATACACATGTTTTACTTCACACATTTAATTGTGATGAACAATGGACCTACTAGTTCCAGTTTGCACTGTTCTACTTTCTTCAAACCCATCTAGGAGTTCTCGTCTAATGACACTTTTAAGGGACCTATTTGATAACTCAAGATTCCATTCAATACTGTCACGAGTTGTACCTCACCCTGAAGCACCAGTTTTACCTTACCCTTGAGCACCAGATGTACCTCACCCTTGAGCACCAGATGTACCTCACCCTTGAGCCCCAGATGTACCTCACCCTTGAGCCCCAGATGTACCTCACCCTTGAGCACCAGATGTACCTCACCCTTGAGCACCAGATGTACCTCACCCTTGAGCCCCAGATGTACCTCACCCTTGAGCCCCAGATGTACCTCACCCTTGAGCACCAGATGTACCTCACCCTTGAGCACCAGATGTACCTCACCCTTGAGCACCAGATGTACCTCACCCTTGAGCCCCAGATGTACCTCACCCTTGAGCCCCAGATGTACCTCACCCTTGAACACCAGATGTACCTCACCCTTGAGCACCAGATGTACCTCACCCTTGAGCACCAGATGTACCTCACCCTTGAGCACCAGATGTACCTCACCCTTGAGCACCAGATGTACCTCACCCTTGAGCACCAGATGTACCTCGCCCTTGAGGACCAGATGTTCCTCACCCTTGAGGACCAGATGTTCCTCACCCTTGAGCACCAGATGTACCTCGCCCTTGAGGACCAAATGTTCCCTACCACTATGTTAAAAACAAAACTGGGAATTGTCTGATTAATATGTCACGTTAATGTGATTTCTCTGTGTACTGAGTGTGTTAATATGTTCCTTTCCAGATTCCAATGGAACACTGTTTAAATGGGCGGTTTAATAGATCTTCTCTACTGTCTCTAATTTCGCGCTGCACTTTACTTGAATTTCTCAATATTATTACAAAAATATTCAGGAAAATAAAACTCTGTGTAGATAATATAGAGAAAAAGATCGCTCCTCCCAGCTATTAAAAAAATGAAACATTGTAAAAAATTCACAAAATATATATCATTAGTTGCAGCGTAATTAGATTTGTAATCTAGAACTGTCTATTTTGTGATTTTCTGTTTGCAGACATGCTGGAGTTGAGAGTTTTGGTTTTGAGAGCGCTTGCGTTGAGAACGCTTGAGTTGAGAACGCTGGTGTTGAGTGCGTTTGTGTTGAGAGCGCTGGTATTGTGAACGCTTGTGTTGAGAACGCTGGTGTTATAAAAGCAGGTGTTAGGAACGCTTGTGTTAAGAGCGCTGGTGTTAAGAACGATTGAGGTGGAAACTCTGGTGTTAAGAGCATTTGTGTTGTGAGCGCTTGCTTTCAGAACGCTAGTGATGAGAGCACTGGTGTTGCGAGCGCTTGTGTTAAGAGCTCTGGTGTAGAGAACTCATGTGTTGAGAACGATGGTGTTAAGAGCGCTGGTGGTGAGAACACTGGGGTTGAGAGAGCTGGTGTTGTGAGCGCTTGCATTGAGAACGCTGGTGTTGATAGCACTGGTGTAGAGAACACTGGTGTTGAGAACGCTGGTGTGAGAACGCTGGTTTTCAGCGCGCTTGCGTTGAGAGCGCTGATGAAGAGAACACTGGTGTAGAGAACACTGGTGTTGAGAACGCTGGTGTTGAGTGTGATGGTTTTCAGCGCGCTTGCGTTGAGAGCGCTGGTGATCAGAACGCTTGAGTTGAGAGCGCTGGTTTTGAGAGCACTTGTATTGAGAACACTGGTGATGAGAACACTGGTATTGAGAGCGCTAGTGTTGAGAGTGCTGGTTGTGAGAACGCTTGTGTTGAGAGCACTGGTGTTGAGTACCCTGTTTTTGAGAACGCTGCTGTTCAAAGAGCTTGTGTTCAGAATAATGGTGTTGAGAGTGCTGGAGTTGAGAGCGATGGTGTTGACAGCTCTGATGTTGAGAACGCTGGTGATGAGGACTCTGGTGTTGAGAATGCTGGTGTTCAGTGCGCTGGTGTTGAGAATACTGGTGTTGAGAACGCTGGTGCTCAGAACACTGGTGTTGAGAGCCCTTGAGTTGATATAACTGATGTTGAGAGCGCTGTTGTTGAGAGCCCTTGAGTTGAGATAACTGATGTTGAGAGCGGTAGTATTGAGATTGCTTCAGTTGTGAACGCTGTTGAGAGCACTTGTGGTAAGAATTCCATGTTTTGAGAGTGCTTGTGTTGATAGCGCTCGTGGAGAGAACACTGGTATTGAGGACGTTGGAGCTGAAAACAGTGGAGTTGAGAGTGCTGGTGTTGAGAGCGCTGGTGTTGAGAGCGCTAGTGTTGAGAGCGCGGGTGTTGTGAGCGCGGGTGTTGTAAGCGCTGGAGTTAAGAGCGCTTGTGAAGAGAACGCAGGTGTTGAGAGCACTGGTATTAGGAGCAGTTGTGTTTAGAACGCTGGTGTTGAGGGCGATGTTGTTGTGAGCGATGGTGTTGAGAACGCAGGTGATGAGATCGCTGGCGTTAAGAAAACTTTGGTTGAGAGCGCTTGTGGTGATAGCACTGCTGTTGATTAGACCAGTGTTAAGAACGCTGGTGTTGGGAGCTCTAGTGTTGCGAACCCTGGTGATGTGAACACTAGTGTTAAGAACGTTAGTGTTTAGTGGTGCTAGTGTTGAGAACACCATTAGTGAGAGTGCTGGTTTTGAGAGCGCTGGTGATGAGAACGCTGGTGTTGAGAGCGCTGGTATTAAGAGCAATTATGTTGAGAACGCTGGTGATGAGTTCACTGGTGTTGAGAGTGCAAGTTTTGAAAATTCTGCTGTTGAGGACGCTGATGTTGAAAGCGCCTGTGTTGAGAGCGCTGATGCAGAAAATTTTTGTGTTTGAGAGCGATGGTGTTGAGAGCGCTGGTGGTGAGAACACTGGTTTTGAGAGCGCTTGTGTTGAAAACACTGGTGTTGAGTGCGCTGGTGTTGCGTACCCTGGTGTTGAGAACGCTGGTGTTGCGTACCCTGGTGTTGAGAACGCTGGTGTTCAAAGAGCTTGTGTTGAGAATACTGGTGCTGAGAGCGCTGGTGTTGAGAACGATGGTGTTGACAGCACTGTTGTTGAGAGCGCTGGTACTGACAGCGCTGGTGTTGAGAACTCTTGTTGAGAATGCTGGTGTTCAGAACACTGGTGTTGAGAGCGCTGGCGATGAGAGCGCTTGCGATGAGAGAGCTTGTTTTGAAAGCGCTGCTGTTGAGAGCGCTAGAATTGAGAACGCTTGAGTTGAGAACGCTTGAGTTGAGAACGCTGTTGAGAGCGCATGTGGTGAGAAATCTAGTTATGAGAGTGCTTGTGTTGATAGCGCTCGTGAAGAGAACACTGAGGTTGAGATCGCTGGTGTTGAGTACGCTTCTGTTAAGAGTGCTGGTGTTGAGAACGCTGGTTATGAGAACGCTGGTGTTGAGGGCAATGATCTTGTGAGCGATGGTGTTGAGAGCGCAAGTGCTGAGATCGCTGGTGTTGAGAACACTGGGGTTAAGAGCGCTTGTGCTGAGAGCGCTGGTGTTGAGAGCGCTGGTGTTGAGAGCAATTGTGTTGAGACCATTGGTGTTGAGAACACTGGGGTTGAGAGGTCTGGGGTTGAGAACACTGGTGTTGAGAGCGCTGGTGCTGAGTGTGATGGTTTTGAGAGCGCTGGTGCTGAGTGTGATGGTTTTGAGAGCGCTGGTGTTGAGAGCGCTGGTAATGAGAACGCTTGTGTTGAGAACGCTGGTGTTGAGTGCGCTGGTGTTAAGAGCGCTGGTGTTGAGAGCTCTTGCGTTGAGAGAGCTGGTGTTAAGAGAGCTGGAGTTGAGAGCGCTTGTGTTGACAACACTGGTGTTGAGACTGCTGGTGTTGAGAACGCTGGTCTTGAAAACAGGGGTGTTGAGATCACTGGTGTAGAGAACGCTGCTGTTGAGAATGCTGGTATTCAGAGCCCTGGTGTTCAGAGCGCTGGTGTTGGAAGCGCTAATATCGAGAACGCTGGTGTTGAGAGCGTATTTGATGAGAGCGTTGGTGTGGAAATCATGTATTGAGAACGCTTGTGTTGAAACCGGTGGTGTTGAGTACCCTGATTTGAGAACGCTGGTGTTCAGAGCGCTTGTGTCGAGAATACTGGTGTTGAGAGTGCTGGTGTTGAGAACGATGGAGTTGAGAGCGCTGTTGTTGAGAGCGCAGGAGTTGACAGTGCTGGTGTTGACAGCGCAGGTGTTGAGAACGCTGGTGTTGAGAACTCTGGTGTTG